TGCATTCCTACGCAAAACAGGGCAAATAACTCATGAGGGAAACCATGCAGAGAAAAAGTCACTGGCTGATCTGCAAAGTCTGTCTGAAACAGCACCGAGGGTCGATTTCCTTTTACGGTCTAACTGGCTTTTGCTGTGGTCTTTGGTAACTTGGCAGTCATACTGCACAATTAATCACCTGTAATCATTCTCCTCTTCCTAATCAGTGACCCCTGCGTTCAAAAGGGGGTATTTTACCATCATTTTTGCTTTCACTGTTACTTCCATTCGAGGATTATTGGCAGCTCAACAGCTGAGATGTGCAGAAAAGCCACGCTGGGGGAAGGAAGCCTCATCAGCTCTTTCTTCCCATCTCCCAGCATGTTAAAAGCACTCTGAGGCACAGAGAACAGCAGGGAAGTAGCATGAATGCAAATCATAGTTTTTTCTCTTTTAATAGATCATCTATGCATCCCCATGTAGGAAAAATGATGCAGCAGAATCCTGTTCTCCTCCCTCTCCTCCTCAGTCCTATCTGGAGTAACAGATAAGCCATTTTCAGCAGAAATAGATAGCATCACCATGGTGCAAACAGATCACCCTGCCAAATCCAAGCAGCAGCGCTGTGCCAAGGCAAGGCAGCACTCCATGTTACTGCACTACAATCCTGCTCAGTGGCAGCCTCTTCCCAATGGGAACAGCAGCTCTAGGTCCAATAGGGCAAATCTCACTCTCCGGATACATGTTTTCTAAACTAGTGAATGGTCCCATTCAGCACACCTCAATCCATTGCAAAAATAATCTAGTTCTGATAATATCAATACTTAGAGGTTTGGAAGAGCTGCAGGCAAAAGCATAAGGCCCTTTACATAACTCAAGATATATGAAGATAAGCACAGTATCAGGAATAGAACACAAAACAGACATGATACGCATTAGGTTTGAAGTCTCAAATAATTTTGGTATTTCACAGCAATTTAGTCTTTGCACAATACACAGAAGGAGCAGCTCATGAGACTGTGGAGTAGCACTCACAGCTGCACCATTACTTGAGCCAGTTGCTCAGATACCTACAGACTACTAAGTGAAGACTGTTAAACCAAACCATTTCCTGCCAGTTCTCTTCATGCTGCTGCAAGAGACCTTCAACAGGAGAGGTACCACATCAGTACTCCACACCCCCTGCTGCTACCCAAGGTCACTATCCTGAATTACGTGTCTCAGGCTCAAAGACTGCCCTGCTCAAATCTTAGTGATCACAATCTCTTTGGGGAGCAGGACAGGGGGAGCTCACAGGTCTCTCTAGGAGGTGGGGTTTGCTTTGACTGCGGCGGGTCATCTTCCAAACCAAAAATCCCTCAGCATTTACCTTGTCTGGCTTTTAAATTCCACATTTTCCCAGAGGTCTCCATCCTCTCCACCCCAACATTGTTTTGAAGCAACACTCTGGCTGCGAAGGGTTCTCCTGAACACCGAGACAAGGACAAAAGCCTTGAATATTAAACAAAGACTTTAAAACAGGAGCTTGAACTTGTGTTATGAGAGCATTAACTACAACCTGGAGTAACTTTACCTATTTTCTTAGTATTTTAGGTTAAAAACTTCCAGAAGCATAAGACTCAATACTTTAAGGTCTTTAGCTCATGCACCACCACTCTGTCAGCATGTCACTAGGCCACGTGAAACATCAGACAGAAGAGGGAAACGTTGGAAGAAGCGCGATCGAGACTCTGAACAACATTAATGAAGAGGTCTACTACACAATGAGTAATCAGAATAGAGTAAAATAACAGCCAACCTATACAAGTTGTCAAAATGAGATGAGACCATCCTTCCAGTACAGATGTTTTACAGCACTTCTTCATGCAGACACCCACAAACCAGAATGACCAAGGAGTGAAAAAGAGTGAAGAGCTTCAAAGTCCAGGAAAGCTCAAAACACTTAGTTTGCACACAACAACTGAGTTAATTCCGTAAGTTCAAGTGGAGTTCTGACTAATATTGACCACAAACACCACCAATTTATCATGCAAACATTTTTAATTGTTTAAATCTCTCTCTTCCAAGCACGAAGAGACAGAAGTACCACTCCAGGGTGGCATCTCCTATGAAAGTGACAAAGGACCACCTGCTTATAACTTAAATAATAAATTCCTGGTTTGTATAACTGAGGCTGAATACCCACAGGATATTATTAACATTTCCCCTCCAGCATCTGGTCTAATAAAGAAACACAGAACAGCTTTGCTGTAGTACAAAAGTTTACAGAAAGTTCGACAATTTAATTAAAGACAATACAAAACACGTTGTCTGAATTCAAATAATTTATGTAAAAGTACATGAATGAGAAAATATTGGCGAGAAGATCTGGGTAACCAATTATCAGATGCATGTTCCTTGTCCCTAGAGATAACGTACAGTCAAAAATACATTTTAAGTTACAATAAAAGACAGCATTTTAAAATAAAGACAATTTCAGTTCTACCAGCCCTTTAACGTGAAAAATTCCTGTTAACATGGGACAGATTGATAGAGTAAAAACAAGGAGCAATACTGAAGTCTATGAATACGCCTGTAGTGTTTCGTTTTCCTTTTAATCGAGGAGAGAGAAGACAACACAAACCAGAGAGGAGTGTTTCATTAGCGCTCTGCCTTCTCAGTTAAGTGCTTTAAAAAGTGTGATAAGAACATCAGGGATTACTTTTATCCACATACCCCAAAAAACTCCACCCCCCTTGTGAGTGGGTAGGGTACAGATCAGGCACCAATCTGATCTTTCCTTCCACAAGGAGCAGGATCACATCCACGCAGGCATGGATCCGTGGATCCTGCAGGCAAAGCAAGCTACCCCTACTGCACTCAGGGTGGCAGCTAGGCCCCAACACGCACTTTCTCAGCCTCCAGCACAGCCAGTACTCTCAAATCACAAGTTATTTCTTCATGTTTGTTCAATATTGAAACCCCAGAAGTCATTATGATATCAGCCAACAGCCTGAAACACCAAATACCTCTTACCATGTGTCACTTGCCCTTCACAGTTGGGGTCAGCTAAACAGTTTAACAAGACGACACATGATTAATTTATTTGAAGATACTTTAGTTCATTAATTCTCAAAGAAAGCATTGATTGCAGTACAACAGCTTGACATACAGCAACAAAACGTACTCAATGTACATGCACAGGCTATTTAACAATAGTACACGGCCTTCCCTATTGCCATTATCAAGTGAACACAAGTACGACAGCTGACCCGGCCTTCCGATCGTCCTCATGAGCTCTAAGTGATGAAACCAGTGTTCCAGTTGGTAGGACGGCAAAGAAGAGGGGTTTGGCCACTGCTGGAAGATTCCAATGAAGATGCCAGTATCATAATGGACAACAGTGTTGAATTACTGTAAAAACAGCTACAAAACGCGCTACAAAAATTTGTCCTGATGTGCACTTCAGTTTAAAAAAAGCGCATGGGGAATACTTAGATTTGTATATAAACACACCAGAAACAAAAGCACATGCAGAGGAAGAAAAGTTAACGAGTTTAAGGCAAGACAAATGTGTGGATGACTAAGAACTGATCACTGAAGTACTGTAAATCAGCAGCAATCTGTTTGGGAAAAAGCACATCATTTTCTAGCAGAACTGGTTTTTGTGATGTGGTGTTCGGGTTTTTTTTGTTGTTGCTTTTTTCAAATACCTCTTGCAACTTCGAAAAGGCAAGCCAAAACTCCTCTGCCTTTGTGTTCTTCAGCCTGGCTGAGATTTCTTTCAGTTTTACAGTTTGGTCCAAATGCTCATGGTTTAATGTACAAAGTACACTACATGCTGCTAGGACTACTCACTGCAAGTTTCCCAAGTCTGCTTTTCAAAAAAACAGATACAACACTGTCATTCCCATTAAAGGCTGATGGTCAGAGTTTCAGTACTGCTGTTAAAGGGCTTCTGGAAATGAGCACAGAGAAGTCAGATTTATGACCAAGAGATAAACAGTGAGTTCTGTAAAACATACACGTTACAATAAGACTTTTCCTATAGCAAATAAAAGCCATCAGGGACCTTTTTTTTTTTTTAAAAAAAAAAGTCTTTCTAGGTTTCAGAAGTGGTAACAATTCCAGCAATAACACTTTCCAAATGCCCTGGCTGTGCCTCTCTTTTTAGTCTTCTCCAAATGGTATTCAAGCAGGTAAGAAATTCTCTCCTCTAATCAACAGTTATCAGTTTAGCACTATGCTACTGGCAAGTCAGATCCTGAAATATTATGATTATTTGATAGTTGTAATCAATTTATTCATGACCATATAAAAAAAGCAGTTACATGAGACTGCACTGTCAGATCCATAATACACCAAGTAAGACTGCAAAAATAAAAGGCAAAAAGGAAAAAGGCCTCAAGGTTGTGGGTTTTTTTTTTAAACAAATTGTCTCACAGCAAAAAAAAAAAGTAGCAAAGGCTTAATCTTAAATACAAAGTTTTAAACTGCAAATCAGGTCCTCTAATCCAGACTGATGGTATACCTTGTTTCAACTGAACTATCCATTCATTACAAGCCTACAATGCCAGCACTCATTAATAATTGAAGCATTCCCCAGCCTCGTCCTCCCAATCATTCACACCTTATTTTAAGCAGAACAGTAAAGTAAGTTAGTTGTTTGTGGTTTCGAAACAGGTGGTCTGAATTCTTTAATACCACACTCAAACCTCAGGAAGACAAATTTAAGAATGTCTCGACTCAATCCTCAAATTGTTTATAAAGGGGAAAAAAGAGGCATGAATATGGAAGTACAGAAGGTGTTAAAACACCACTAAAGGTAAAGAGCCTACACTGGAAACACCTTGTCAAAGCACTAAAATCTCAATCATCTCAAAAGACAATTCAGAGACACTTAGAGTTGTGAAAAAAATGAAAGATAGTATGACGTAGATTGCTGAAATATCGAATCTAAAGGCAGTGCAAAACGATGGCTGGTGGGGGGGCAACCAGGCATCTTGTAAAGTGAGGGACTTCAAATTACTCATCACTGACCCCCTGAATAATCTGCATTGAAGGACCTGATGAACAGCATTGAAATTTCTTGTCATGCAATTACAACCAATGCAACCAATGTGCAACTCAGGATTGATACTGTCATCCATGGTGGATTATTAAAGTAATAATCCATTAAAGAATAAGGTCAAAGGAGAAAGTGGTAAACATCAGTTGCTGTAAGTGAAAACACTTCAAAAATTTACAATTAAATAAAGTTAGATGGTATCTTATAAAAAGAAGTACTGAACACAACAAAGCCACAATAAATTAGTGTTTCCATAAAACGACATGCTGAAGGATTTGTTCCCAAGTCTATACATTTTTTACTGACTGTTAATTCCTAAATATTGACAGCGTAGTTGAATAATTGAGGTACAGTAGTTTACATTTGTATATGTCTTGTAAAAAGGTTAATTTTTTTCTTCCAGTTTTTCTTCCTCATCACCAAAGAACAACAATGGAAACATTCCTAAAATGCAGCCAATGGTCACTCCAATAGCTTTACCCTAGAGAAAGGGGGGAAAAAATTAAGTTTCTCACTGATCACTTTTTAGTTGTGTGTAGTACCAACACAACAAGGAAAAGAGACCCTTTGTTCTAGTTTTCGGTTGGGAGCCACATTTCCTTAGCATGCAGATTAAAACACTATCTATGAGAGAGACACATGACAAGGTTAGAAACAGTGTGTGCAGCGATAAAAGACAATTCTGAATGAAGAGAATGGGAATGACCCATGAAGAGCTGCAGAGGTGGTAGGGAGGAGACAGACTCAAAAAGATTAAGCAGAATGGCCAGGAAGATGGGTGGGGGCTGGTAACACACCCCTCATTTCACATGCAATTATAATATGCAATTATAAATGTATCAGCTTGTATCTGGTAATGCAAATTATTAATCAAGGTCAGAAAAGAGGAATTCCTTGGAAACAACAATTTGCAAAGGCACAAGGTGAAGACAAAAAGAGATTGGAAAACATGTTACAATTGACCCAGATGTCAAGAGGAAAGGAAAGAAAAGAAGAAAGTCACCATGCAAACCACATCACCAGCAGTAGGTGCTGAGAAACTTGAGACAGCAGGCAAGAAAGGAAAATGCCAGCATACATGCTAAGATGCTCAGAATTCTTTTTGCAGAGAAGGGCTGTAGATGAACTGCAGTGCAATGACAGGCTTTTGCCACAAATTCAAGGCCAGGCTGGATGAGGCTTTGAGCAACCTGGTCTAGTGGAAGGTGTCCCTGCCCATGGCAGGGGGTTGGAACTAGATGATCTTTAAGGTCCCTTCCAACCCAAACCATTCTATGATATTCAGCTTCCACTAAGAATTATGTTGGACAGACTAGAGTGAAGCCCACTGACAACACGCCAGATGTTCCCCACTCAATGCTTTGATCTATCACGGCTAAAAGCAGACCTCCCCCTCCAACTTTTCCTTAGTAAGTCTTATTTCTCTTCCCTTAAGTCTGCAAAGATATTTTTCCCCATGAAGGTTCATTCTGGCAAAGCGAACGAAATAATCCATTTCTTTACTCAGTTTCTTACAAACTGTTTCTTTAATCAAAATAAACTAACGCTCTGATTGCTGAAGTGAGACTGCTTCAAATGTTTAAATGTTAATTAAGTAATCATCTTGAAAATGAATCTGCAAAATGAGTGTCCCATAACTGTAAACCCAGGCTGAGAATATTACTCAAATGCTGAAAGTTTACCCAGGGGACAGTTAATTTCATATCCGAGCTAATTAAAGAACATTAGCAACTAGTACATACTAGCACAGGTACATGAGTAACACGCACTTGCCAAAGGAAGTATGGGAGTAAACTAAGGGGTCATAACTTCCAAATAAACTGTATCACAGCAGCCAGGGCTCAGCCCAGGTATCTGCACAGCACACATGAAGTAACCGCAGAGACTGTCCGCGTTACTAGCCACTTGTGGCGTGCTGCATACAAAACACAGCCAAGCCCAAAACAATCCAGCCTCATGGTGCTCCCTGACAGAGGCTCACAGCCAAACCTTCCAGGAAATGTGCAAACTGTTGGTGCTCGTTAAGTATTTAATGGCAAAAGCGACAGAAAGGATTTATCATGTATTAGCTTAAACAAAAAGGCTCCACGCAAATGGCGCCTACCTACAGGCTACTCACCAAGTGTGCACTGAGCCGCGTTTGCCACATGTCGGCTTGCTTGGGTGTCAGATCCGGGATTGACAGACCCAGTCGTGAAGCTAAAGCTTCCACATAACCTGCAAGACTGGAAGAACAAGAAAACAGGGACAAACGATTTTGGATCTGACAGTATCTTCTATCATGGATTCTGAAATATTTGAAGCACTGAACGTATGAATAGCTTTTCCTTGGGCACACTGACAAAGCCATCTAGAGGTAAATACAGGAAAGCATTCAGACTCCCGATGGTCACATTTTGCAGTGTAAGTTAACCAGTTCTCACTGATTTAATATGCAATATTTCCAGAAAGACATTATGCAGTAAGACAACTGGTGTGAATACTACTGTATTTCAGCACAGTTTATAAGTAACCTTCACTGGAGGAAGCGTTTACAAACACACACTAGTTAGTAATAAGCCCTGTTAGTTGTGGGGGTAGGGGGGGATAGAGGGAAAGCGGGGAAAAAAAGAAGCATAATAGCTTTTCTTTCAGCAGTTATGCAGCAATTTCCTTTTTAAAGAGTCAGCTGCATTGGTTTATCTCAGAAACAAGTATGCCTAAATCTGAAGGCATTTCAGATATACAGTAATTGTTTTATCTGAGAAGAAAATGTCTTCAGATACAGGAGGTCTGAGGAGGTAGACTAGGTATATTCCATCACAGCAATTCTATCACAAAAAACGTGGGTTTTTTCTGGCTTGTGTTGTAATGAATGTACTTTTTGTAGAAAAAAAATTATAATATTTCGTTAAAAGCAAGGCTTATTTACAGAACACAATGAATCAGGTTTAACCCCAATCCCAATTTTATCACTTAAAATGTGTAATTCTGCAACAGCAGGAAAGTTTTTCCGTTTCTGAACTATGGCACTGCAGATTTAACTTCAACAAGAGCCACCTAATAGCCCAACTTCTTCCTAGCAAGGACAGCATATATTTCTACAGTCATGTTGTTTACTGAAGCAAAATTCAAGAGCTAGGAAAACAAATTAATCGATTTCAGCAGGGTATATATTTTAGTTCAGTAGCACCAATAGTGTTTGCAGAGGTGAAAAAATTTATTAAAACAAGTTCAGACATACCCCAGTCCAGCTAAATCTGAAACAAGGTTTCCCAAAGCAGCAGCTAGAGGGATGGAGACAGAAGAGAAAGGGGGGAGAAGACAAAGTATTATTTTAATTACAAACAAAATCAAGCAGCTCCCCTCCCTCACCCCCCAATGACACTCAGTCTTCTCAGTATATATTGCATAAAAGACAAAGTTAAGTTTATTTCAGAGCTTTTTTTTGACCTCCCTACAGCTTGTTGAAACAGCAGCAGACTAACTAATAGGAAGTGCAACAGTTTCTCTCAGCTTGTATGAGGAAAACTTGACAAATTCAAAAAGACAACGCTGACTCCTGGAAATTGATTACATTTGGAATTTCGATGTTTCCATCAAAATCGATGAAAACAACTTTTCAGACCAAGGTTAAACAGCCACCCACAGCCGCTGGTTTCATACAGCCAACACTGGACACAACGCAAGGCCTTCCAGTGCCCGAAGAGGCACAGGGGGACTGGAAACAGGAGAAACTGTTACTCACGTATGTTGTTTTGATAAACACTTCACTACATCCATGAACTGACTCAGTTTAGGAATAAGTACTGTACGTAGGACTGAACAAAGTTACACACTTCAAGTACAGGATTTCACAGCAGATCTTACTGAGATACGCTTCCTCGTGACTATCCTGCATTGCAACAGAGGGCTGCAAATTTCCAAATTATTAACTTGTTCTGCCAGATACGTTTTTGTGTCGGCTATCTGTGTGCTTTCAAGCAGTGCTGCACCTGCAGCTAGCTGGTGGATCCACGAGCAGTTTTTCCCCCTGACACTGCAGAGGCACTACAGCTGTCGAGCAGAGCTTATCAGTTTTGTCCCAGTGCAGGAGCAGGGTGGCTGCTGCGCCTTCCCGTTGGTATCACATGGTGGCAGAGAAGCCACCAAAAACACCAGCCAACACAGTGAAAGGACACCAACACGATCTTCACCTCACTGCAAGCAAACAGCCACTTGCAAATACTTTCTGTATGTGTCTAAACGTATCAGACCCTAGGGAATTCAGAGCAGCTCTGTTACAGAAAGGCAAATACGCTTTCCTAATGTGAAAGTTCAAATCCTGAGTCACTTAAAACCAACAACAAGCATTTCAAAAGCTATTTTAAATGAAAATCCATGTCTGCAAATGGAATACATCCTTGCTTCAACCACAGGTTGTTTTATTAGGAAAGGCAGCTGCAAGACCAAGGAAGAACCATTCCCAGCCCTCTAGCCCACTTTCAGCCTAAAAATATAAGAATGTGCCATTTCAGTTTACATACACTGCAGTTTTGTTACTTGCCTGCCATAGTTGAAATTCCTAGGACAACTCCAATAGACAATTCTATTTGGGTTCCCTGAAAAAAAGTAAGAGTTTTGTCATTATTTGAGGGATTTGGAGTAAAAATAGATTATATTAATTCAACTGGCAACAGCATTGCTTAAGGCTTGTTTATGTTAAGATAGAAAGAATAAAGAGCTCCTACCCTCCTAGCATAAGTATTTCCCCCTAGGACAAGGGCCTACCTTTAATATTCTTTCAATATTTTCTGTTGTTTCATAATGGCCCCCAATGGACAAAACCACAGTCCCTATCTCTGCATACCATTTTTCCCACTGTAATACTTAGCCAAATGTACAGGTCTGAATGCAAACTTCCACAAACACTGAGCTACACAAGTATCATAGCTCCTTACTTTTTCAGTTGAAGAAACATAACATCACACTGAACTGCATGATGAAACAGCAGTGTGTGGCCCAAGGATGAGAGACAATGGGCACGCATCAAAACACGACAGGTTCCAGTCATAAGGAAATGTTTTCCACTCTGAGGACCGTCGAGCATTGGGACAGGTTGTGCAGCCTCCACCCTGAGAGCTTTTACACAGCCACAGGATAAAATGAACAACTTGGTCTGACCTTAGAGCTGACCCTGCTTTGCGCAGGAGGTTAGACTAGAGACCTGAGAAGGTCCTGAGCAAGACTAGAAAGCTAGTGGGTCCTGGGTCCTGAATTATCCCACGGTTAAGATCACATTGTCAATGATAATACTACACAAGGAACAGTATCCTCGGCCTTTATCCACCTTCCTATTCCACTAGACCATTTCATCTTCCAAATGAACGGGAAAACATCTCAAGTGTTACTGAGAAATGCCAGTCTACAACAGTACAAATCAGCATCAGCATGAGCATTGCCTGCATCACTCAGAACAAACGAACACATCCGTAAAAACCCTAAAGACCTATTCATCAATGCATTATAATCACATTACCATCAGTCAGTATAAACAAAAAAGCATTGACTACATGATCATAAATGTGTCTTGCAGCACAGATTAGGAGAAGGGAAAAAAAACCCTCAAGCCTCCTCTTAGGTTCAGTAAAAATAGTCACAGTACCAGCCTTCAGAAGGAACAACACTCCGTTACATTCTGCAAAGGCTCAACAGAGCATGGACACTTTCTTTAAAAAAGAAAAATTAAAATAGAAATTAGTGAGTTGATAGAGAGGGAATGGAGTCTTCCTGAAGCTCTCATTTACTACGTGAACAATATGAATCATGCTGACTTGATCACAGAGTTAAATAATGCACTTACCGCAGCAATCATAATTGCGTTATCCAAAAATCCAAACCCTACAAAAGGTAATGCATTGTGGAAGAACACTAAAAGAAATAAGTAACAAAGAGAAAATAAATATTTGTAAGACAGCTCACACGAATAACTGAAATGTCAGTCTGATACTGCCTTTAAGAGAAACTAAGACAACATACACAAAATCCCTTTCTTACTACTTCTGCTAGCAACCTTTTTGTCAGGGCTGGTAAAACTCCTTGCTATGTAAGTGTAACTAATGACTTACAAAGAACCAGTTAAACCAACTTACTCTTTGCAAATTCTTGTAGAATTTCGTACAGAAGCCATTTATGCCTACTAGTTCATAAAAAGTATTTAAAACTACATAAACTTTGATACTATTTAAAGTCCTTCCAACCGATGTTGCAGTATCACTGGTGATAGCCAAACTGTCTCACCCGATTCCCTGCATTATTCTTTTGCTTGAAACAAAGCCCATTTCTCTGCAAGTCCCTCTCTTCCTGTGCAAGAGCTCCAGCTTCTTCACACATTCCTAAAAATTCATACTTAAGGAGCACTGCCTGCAACCAGGCAATTCTTCTCAATTTCTTCAGCTAAATACGCAAATGCTAAGGTTTTCACTAGTGTCATACAGGATTAATTATCTCACTATTCAACCCAAACTTCTGTACCTTGATTTTGTTTGGGCACTATGATGATGACAAGTTAGACTTGAAGCTGCTCCTCTGTATATTAAGAAATCAAGTTCCACCTTTTGTTTCATATTTTTTTCTTTCATTCCTGAAACTCCAAGTAAATTCTATTTGAAAGTATTTTCTGTTGTCCCGTTCCATTCTCTCTCTGAAGTTTTACCTTGCAAGCTTCTGATGGAGATGAGACTAAATTTGCACAGCACTGCCTCCAGCTGAGTCTCAAGGTGCAAGCACCCTAAGACCAAATACAGCACCGAGGACAGACTACTTGACTAACAACAGAGCTTAGAAAGTTAGATCTTTTAACATTGGAAACGCATCAGATCTTTAGTTTTTATCCTCACTTCAGACTGGAACAGCAATTCCTACGTTTTACAAACTTAGAGTTGCAAACATAAGAGGAGGGAGGAAAGAAGAGTGCATGAACCTCACAATCATGTGGAAAGACATGGGTTTGAGACCCATCCGGATTTACTCCTCACAGACAGCATGAATTTATGATCGTATTAAAAAAAAAAGCTACACAAGAGATCTTTAATGCTCAGGTACGAGAACACATTTGGACTTCTGCAACTATTTTGTATGAACACACATACCTTCTTAAATGTACAGGTAAAAGGCTAAAGCACAGAATGTATGAAATTTTCCTTTAAAAAAAAAAAAGGAATTACACTGCAGGACAAAAACCCCAAAAATATAAATAACAAAAAAGCACATAGATGTGCACAATATTCTCAAAGTGTGTGTGTACCAAACTCTGGAGCTACAGAGGGAGCTCGAATTCTTACAAAAATTGACAGAATTTTGGAATCCGTGGAGTAAACGGAACCCCAGGGGCCAAGCAAAAAGAAGAACACACCAAACCAAAAAAACCCAAAAAATACCACAAAGACAAATACTTTTTCTCACTGAGAGAGTATAAAAACCACAAAAATACACTGATTTGGAAACTAAATCAGAATTTGAATGACCATGGTATTATAAATAACACCAAACCTATTTCCACTTTCTCTGCAATTTTTTCTACTTCTCAGCCCATTATAGGTGCCTAGAAGCAAATCAATCATTTTAAGCTCAAATGCAAAAAAAAAAAAAACCACAAGGTACTGCAGCATCAACACTGCTTGGCTTAGAAAAACAAGGTTTGCTGCTGGCTTTGACCAGCACGCTCTCATTTGGGCTTTCTGTCCTACTTTCACTAAATGGTGCACATTCTCCAGCTGAGGTGTTACGAAATAAAGGCGGCAGGGTGACTGTTGGTGCTTGCTTTGGTTTCGTTACTCCATTCGATGGGGATGAGGGCAGACAGCACTCGTAGGAGAAAGATGAAGCAATTCAAAGACTGACTGCACAAATACTGAACCGCATTCAACAGTCTTTTACCATGTTTCAGTTGTCCTGGAGATGGTGGTGCGACCTCCAGCTTCTCTAGAGAAGTCAAAATGAAATGAGAAAGTTAGCTAGTTCATCACAAATTCAGTTATTATAAAGTGTTTACCAAATTACTAGCAGGCAAAAAAGCAGTTATGTCATTTAACACCTTTAAATTTGAAGAAAATTGCTTCACATCTATGTTTCTATTATTTTTACAGAAGATAACATCATACTAAAGCCACAAATTTTTAGACTGGTATTATAAGATTAAACTGGTATAATGCTTAGGCAAATTAGCAGCATACATCAGAAGCAGCCCAACAGCCATCTTTTGTTACTGAAAATTAGAAAAACACACTGAAATTAGAAAAAACAGGACACCTGAAGAGAATGTATTTTATTATTTGTTTTTAGAGAACCTCTAAGCATGCGTCAGACAGCCTTCTCTCCTCCAGAGACAGTCTGCAAAAAAGACCCTGCCATTTCTGTTCTGACAGAAGGAATAACTGATGGGAGAATAAAAGAAAAATACGACATTAGGGACCACTGATTTCAGCAACAGCAGATCAAGTTTGGCTATTTGGTGCATGTTTCATGCATCTTGGCATCAAACCATTACAAGCTTGGTCACTCCTGAACCTGACACAGTCATCTATAGGAAGCAGAGGCAGTCTGAGGTGATGCATAGAACACAGCAGCAACCCATTTTGCAGGGGCAAGGGAAAGAAAACAAAAGACTAAAAAAAATAGTTTGTCTTTTTTTCGTTTTAATGTGGATATTGAGCATATGACCCCTTTTTAGAGCAGAAAAAAAGGGGTTGCCCCAATGCCTTCCAATATTCTGAACCCTGAGCTTCCATACTTTTCATTATGTAAGCTTTACAGGTAAAGGTAAAAAAATGGTAAAACATGAGAGAAGCCTACAACACTTCCTCAAGGGTTCAAATTTTACTTGGGACATCCAAGTACATGAAAAGACAACGCTGCAAACACAGGCTATGAATCATTTGAGCATGTGACCGAACTCTGCAGACAAGAGTGAGCATCCCTGCATCCAGTCACTCCCATATTCAAAGCTATTGTAAAGGTTAAACTAAAGTACTCACTTAAAGTAACTTTGGGGAAAAATGATTATACCATAACACCATAAATATTCAGCCAACCAGGACATTAAATTCCAAAATAACTTCACTAATTTAAGGTCTTAACATAGAACAACTTTGATCCTTTAGCACCTATTGAAGAGCTGCTTCTTTCCTCTGCCCAACAGATAAACTACCTGAGCTCTACAAACACCAGTTGTAATCATCATGCAAATGGGAGAACCACAGCCCAAATACCACAGAAATAAAGATTATTCCACCCGTCCCCCGAAAATACCAAAGTACTCACAGATTCAAATGTTTGGTAAACAGAGGGGAGCCCTGCAAGAGCCAACCTTCCAGAGCTGCCGGCATCACTGGTGCCCAACAGACAACATCAGCCCAACATTTTCAGCTTATGTTCAGGAAGGATGAGACCCATTTTTCCAACACAAACTTCTTCGGTACTTGTCTGCATGTGGTCTCCCTCCCATCCTCACAGGTGCAGCAAAACTTTTACAGAAACATGAAGAAAAAAAGAAGGGGGGGGAAAAAGCTCTCTGTACCGCCCTTCCAGCAGTTTTCTCAGAGACCACAAATTTGTACAAGACTGGGGAAAATCAGAGCCACCTTTAGATCGCACAAAGGTATTAACTGAGACCAGTGTCCAAAAGCTCTAGATGCCCTGGGGGTGGCCAGGCAACCTAAACCAGCACACTCCTGATGAAGCTTTCCCAACCTCCTCTTGTTCCACCCTGCTGGGATGCCGGGGAGAGAACCAAAACCCAAAACCACTCAAGCACCTGAGGTCACTGAGAGGCTGCTGCCCTCCACAGCTTTCTGCTTCAACGGGAAGCCATCACACCGGCCAGCACGGTTCCTTGGCTTCCTGTGACACTGCCACTGAAACCAGCCCTGCTGAAGTACCATCTACTCTTCAAGTCTAGTTCTACATATACAAGGATTTAATGATAAAAAGCTTCAGCAGCATACATAAACTTCCAGGAAACACTCTACTTCCATCTGAGGAAGACACTTTTTCACAGTTTGCCATGACAACTAACCATCCAGTTAGTTGTAATTCCCAAGTGAAGTATTTTGGGTACCAGCACAGAAGACTGAAGACTATTCAGTCTGTCACACACTACTACAAAGCTCTAGCACATCAGTCTTGTGGATTTAACTACAACTGATGTTTGACTTTGATAGCACATGACAGTCTACATAATCACACTCAATTCAGTGTAGCTAGAAAGCTGCTAAAATCCACCGCATAATTGATTTTAGAAGCTTATTACCAAAAGAAGTAATTGACGACAAGCATTTGGCAGGAGGAAAAACCCCAATATTTTACATCTATGCATAATGGGAATTTCAAGTCACATTAACTAAAAAGGACAAACTTCCTCCTTTAGAGCTCAGTCAAGGACTATCTTGGGTTGGTTTTAAAAGGAGGAAGGCTGGGGGACACTACTTTAGGGGTAGAGATAAGTTAATGCAAGGTAGAGGGAAACAGCAAGGGATTAAATATGAGCAAAAATCACTGACATAACCCATTTTGGTGGTGTGGGCTTGTGCTGATTTTGGCTGGGACAGAGTTAATTTTCTCCACAGTAGCTTGTATGGGACTATGCTTTGGATTTCTGTAGGAAAGTGTGGATAACACAAGGATATTTTCATCACTGCTAAGCAGTGCTTACACAGAGTCAAGGAGCAGAACAAAAAATACCCAAACTAACTGCCTCTTAACTCCAATCTTAGTATTTATTTTAATTTACAGTATCCCTTTTTTTGCTAACATTCACCTTTTTTTTGTTAAATAGAATATAAAATTATCAACATAAATACCACCATTATCCACAACTTGGCTCAAATCCAGCAACTTAACTCTGCTAACTGTAGCCAATTCAACCAAGACAGTACTTGCAATTTAGTTTTACGATCATTATTCTTATCTGACAAAACTCCCAACCAATTAAAAGGTAATGGGGGTGCATCTATTCTGACAGTTGGTAAAAAGAAAAAAAAAAAACCACACAGAAACAAAACCCAGAAAGTTGTCATCACTGATTTTGAATTATCAGGTTTTTAAGAACTGGCATAGAAGGAAACTTGCAAGCCTAAAGACACGTATTACTATGTTTTATTCAAGTTGAAGCTAACAGTGCTGTAAAATATCATCGCAAAACCTGTTACTGTGACCCAGGGGCAGGAAACACGCAACAGTGATAACAGGTACTATGGCCAGGGCTAACCTCGGAAGGTAAATGCTATAGCTGAGTACTGATCAATCTAAGACAAGAACATGAGCAGTGTTTTACAGACTTGTAAATAGCGATCAAACTGACAACATTAATGATCAAACAATGAACATCAAGAAGGTAAGGAGGAGGAATATGAAAAATGTTAATAATCTAGATCCACTGCAACCTTGTAGGCTCTGAAGGTTACAGTCACATCTGGGAGTTATGGAGGGTTTTGTCTCAAATGCATCTATCTACCTCCTCCAAAAAACCTGCCCAGGTTGCTCCAGCAAATCATTCAGATACATATCATGGAGAGAACAAGGGCTTCACTTGCACAGAACAAGAAATCAAACCAATTTTTATGTCTATTAGAAAGAGGTGCTCCTTCACCCACGAGTTCATAAGGTTATGGTTATCTTTAATCCCCAAAATACGGGATTGGAACCTAGAAACGAGATAGATGTTATTGCTTTGTTCAGTATCTAGTGGTGGATCCTTAAGAGTAAATTACAACTGTGATTAAGAGTTCATTCATGGAATAAACTCATAAGGCACATCCCCCTTTGTTCATCCCGTTTTTCTTGAGGTTTTAACAAAAAACTGCAAAAAACTCAGTACGTACAGCAAAACAAAGCGGAAAAAACATGCCCATTGATCTCCAACTGGGTTTCCCCAATATTCCAGGATGGCCAAAAAAAAAAGAAAAATCATCCAGGAGTTGACAGCAAAGAAAAAATCTGCATCATCTGTTATAACTCACAAATGGTTTCCTGTTGCTACAGCGATTGAGGCATGAAAGGATGCTGACTCGTGCAGTGCTAAATATAGACCTGGCTGTTGGCCCGTGCAGTCACATGCACACAAAAGGGGAAAGCTGAGCGAACCACTACAGAGAGACTAATTGACAGAGGAAATGAAAGAATGATTTCTCAACTACCCCAAAAAGGTAACTATGTCCAAACAAATATTCTGCATAAATACAAATAGGACACTGACCACTAAAGGGTTTTCTTCATATATACTCTTTGTAACACTGCAGAAAATCACACAGTGATCACATTCCATCTCCCTCTCTGAAAAACACTGAAGAAGCACAAGATACTGTCATCTTTATTTGAAACTACTGTTATATCTACTGGACCAAGTGCCAAACAAGCTTTGCAGGAGTGCCGTTTGCTCCCTGGCATCAACAGAATCACAGAATCGCTGAGGCTGGAAAAGACCTATTCCCAACCAACCTATTCCCTGCAGAACAAAACCCAGGAATGAGATCAGGCATAGTTCATTCCTGGGATTCCATCCTAGTAGGTGGGTAGCCCAGACATATGGGCCCCATGACAAACTCAGGGCTACGTGCCATGTGCAGTGGATGCAGCAAGTCTGCTCCAAAGGGAAAAAAACCCAAAAACCCACAAACACCGCAACACACCAAACCACCCACAAAACCAACAGCAAAACCCCACACATAGGAGTGGGAATATAGCTGCTCTGTGACACTTGGCCTAGTGCTCAGTAGTTACTCCCTAGAAGGGTTGCACTTAGCAGGAGTGTACGCTATTGCTCACCAGAGGCAAGACAGTCTTGGTTTAAATATCACTGAACTCATTTCCACTTTATCTGCAGTGCTTACTGGATGCTATCAAATACTGTGAGTATACAATACACTACTTATCCTTTCCAAAAACATGATATGCCATTCATACCCTTTAAAGATGTTTAACAAAAC